TGTCCTGTCCAGGGTGTGCCCTGCCTTGTGATGGAATGGTGTCCTGTCCAGGGTGTGCCCTGCCTTGTGATGGAATGGTGTCCTGTCCAGGGTGTACCCTGCCTTGTCCCTGCTGCTTGCTGGGATAGGCTCCAGCTCCCCTGCAACCCTGAAGCAGATAAAGCAACTAGAAAATGAATGGATGGATGGAATGCTGTGAACGTTAATGGAGATGTTTCTTGCTGTAGACCTTCGGGAAGGGCGGAGAAGTCGCCCTGTATGCACCAAATGAGCCGGTCCTTGATTACAACATGGTGATCATTTTCCTGATGGCTGTGGGCACCGTGGCTATTGGAGGCTACTGGGCTGGGAGCCGGGACATCAAGAAGTAAGTCATGCGCACCTCAGTGTTTCAGTATCGGGTTTGCTGTCTTGAAGAGTAAAAGGTTCACTGGCTTATTAGGGATTTAACACAATTGCAGTGTCACTTTCTCCGTTGTCAACTAAAAACTTCAACCTGTACAGTGATTGTTTGGTGTACCTATTTTTTATCCTTTTAAATATACTGTATGTTCTTAACATTCACTGTAAAATCAAATTTCATACCACTGACTAGATATAAGGACATTTTGAATTTACTTAAAACATTAAGTCATCTGCCAGGTAAAAAAGAATATACTAATTAAGATGATGAGTTCAGCCATTTTCTGGCTGTTTGCTTAGTATGTGGGCTTTAATTTAGCTTTTTTAGAAGGTCCCCAAACAAAATCTTGTTTACATTAGCTGCGTTTAAAGGGTTAGTAGAAGATACTTTATTATGATCATTTATATACGTAGTGGCCAGTCCTGATGTCTGCAGGATTGCATAACATTAATCTAGGGTTGAAAATGCAAAGTGACGTGCGCAGAGATGCTCTGCAGTGGTGACCCAAGTCTGGTGACTGCTGATGTTGCCGGCTGCATTGTGTTTCAAATCGGCCGCTGAGATCGAACCCGTGTGTGTTTCCTGCAGGCGATACATGAAGCACAAGAGGGATGACAGTGCAGAGAAGCAGGACGAGGAGACCGTGGACGTGACTCCTATCATGATCTGCGTGTTTGTGGGCATGTGCTGCTCCATGCTGGTCATGCTGTATTACTTCTATGATCACCTAGGTAATGGCCAGGTGGAGGCGCTATTATCTGCGTTGCTCTTGCAAGTTAGCAGGGGGTGGGAAGCAAATTAGATTCACTCAGCGCTGTGAGCCGGAGGGATCAAGATGTGTGCACTGGCTCGCGCGCCTTGCAGCTTTCTAAGCATTCATCATAGAGGACTGTTTTCAGAAGCCGTCCATCTGGATGAATTGTGTTAGACTGGCAGCTGATGATCTGAGCCGAAACACTGGGGCATCATGAACAACACCGTCGTCAGGCTGGGAGGGAATAACTCTGCTGTGAAGTACAGATAAAGATGGCAGGGTAACAGCGGCCAGGGAGTCGGTTCAAAAGATAAGGGCCTTTCTACTGAAGGAATTGGAGTAGAACAGAACACTGTGGCAGTAAGATAGGTTGAGGAGCCCTCTCAGACCAGGGGGATGAGCTGCCAGCAGACAGAAGGCAGAACAGAACAGGGAAGCTGTGCAGACAGGCATGTCAGGTAATAATAATAATAATAATAATAAATAATAATTGCTTACACTTATATAGTGCTTTTCTGGACACTCCACTCAAAGCGCTTTACATGTAATGGGGATCCCCTCCACCACCACCAGTGCGAAGCCCCACCTGGATGATATGACGGCAACCATAGTGCACCAGAACGCTCACCACACACCAGCTCTCAGTGGGGAGGAGAGCAGAGTTAATGAAGCCAATTCATAGATAGGCAGATTTCTAAGGATGCTAGGCCATGGTCATGGAGCAACAAGGAGACAATAGGATCTGGATCTGAATCTGGACTGAGGAGTGAGACGGGTTCAGGCAGAACCCAGGACATATAACTGGCAGAACACACGTAACCTATGAAAATGTTGCTGCATGTTTAGCGTAGGCTGTCTAAATAGACAACTTTTTAGTGGTCAGAACCGTGTGAGTTCAGAACACAAGGATGCCCATGCTGCAGCCCATGTTGCTCTGGGAAGTCTGGTATTTAATCCTTGAGCCCTGTCCGGCCGTTGCTTGACGGATAAAAAGTACAGGATCCCTATGGGGATCCGGGGCGGAGCGGTGGCTCTGTGGCTAAGGATCTGCGCCTGTGACTGGAAGGTTGCCGGTTCAAATCCCGCGGCCGGCAGAGGAATCCTACTCCATTGAGCTAACTGCTCCAGGGGCGCCGTACAATGGCAGACTCTGCGCTCTGACCCCAAGCTTCTCTCCCTGTCTGTGTGTCTGTGTCTCCATGGAGAAAAAGCTGGGGTATGCGAAAACACGAATTCCTCATGCAAGAAATTGTACAGGGCTAATAAAGAAACCCTGATACAGCTTCACGATATCCTCTCCCCCCTTCTCTCCCCAGTGTACATGATAATCGGAATATTCTGCCTGGCAGCCTCCATAGGGCTCTACAGCTGCCTATCCCCCTTCGTGCGGAGAATCCCCTTCGGGAAATGCAGGTTAGCGTCCCTGGGAGAAGAAGCATCGTCTTTTCTGGGGGGTTTTATTTTGCACTCCCTTTTGCGCTTCTCCTGTTGTTGAGTTTTTGTGCAGTATCTGTTCTGTCCGTTTGCAGAATCCCTGAAAATAACCTACCGTACTGCCACAAGCGCCCCCAGCTGCGGATGCTCCTGCTGTGCATGTTCTGCGTGGCAGTCAGCGTGATCTGGGGAGTCTTCAGGAACGAGGACCAGTGAGTCCGGGCCCCGCCTGGGAGAGCTGTCGGCACAAAGGGTGGAACCACACCGAGGCAGCAGCAGAGCGATCCAGACATCAGTGCTTCCCTTTAGACCCAGTTACCTGTAAAACACATCGGTGCCTATTTAGGAGTACCCGAATGAAGAGAGTAATCACATAATTAGATCAACGATGTTGGAGAGCTTGGCTAAAACAGAAACCACTAGATCTTGCAGGAAGGACTGTGAGACCCCTGAATTGGGGCCTAACTGGTATTGGTATCTGCTGATGAGAAAGATGCAGTCCTGAGACGAAGTGATAACGTGTGCATATATACAGTAGATGAGAAAAATGTGTTCTGTTACCGTTCACAGGTGGGCCTGGGTGCTGCAAGACACTCTGGGGATTGCATTCTGCCTTTACATGCTCAAAACTATCAGGTTGCCTACTTTCAAGGTGCGTTGCATGTTGTTGAGAGTCTGCTGTGTATAGTGGTACGGTTTTGTTTTAGTCACAATCCGCCCATGAGATTTTGTTTGTGCAGATTTTTGTTTGCACGTCATGTTCGTGGGTTATCTAAAGAATCGGTACACAGAGGAAATAGAGACTGATATTGCAGTGGGAATAGCCTAAGAGCACCTCATTCACAAATCTAGCAATTGAGGGTGTGTGTCAGCAGTGGATCACTTGACACATGTAATAACCATCCGTGTATTATGTGTCCCTTATGTGGACTCGGACACATTTAGAAACCACATCTGTCAAAGGCCACATGTCATGTAGACCTTGCTAATGATAATATGATTTCCACTGCTTAAGTAATTCACACATCTAAACACAAGTCATGTGAGAAAGCAGCTAAAGTTACCAGGCATTTGTAAGCATAATAAGGATGAGTCAAACATTGAAAACATATGAATGCTACTTTAGAATATAATATAATCTTAAAATATTTTATTTAAAACGGAAGTAATAATATTACTGTACTTTGGATCTTTCTTTTTCCTCTCTCAAATGATAATGCAACCTTCCCCCATAGGCAAGGGAAAGGCCTCCATCACCTGTGCTGCAGGCCAGCCTTGTATAAGAAGGATCTCTGACCATTACACCTAGTTTTTATCATTGCAAACACAAGCCAGACGTGCCCTGCAGTCAGAAAATACTGCCCGTCATTACCCCCCTTTGAATATTCAGCACACGGAAATCTACACATCTTCAGAGCGGCTTTCAGTGCACACCTGTCGTTGTCTTGCACACATCACTTTAAATTGGAAATGAGGTCCCTCATCTGAAACGTTCTCGTTCTTTGTCTGCAGGCCTGCACTTTGCTGTTGACCGTGCTGTTTGTCTACGATGTTTTCTTTGTATTTATAACCCCATTCTTCACAAAGGTACGTGCGGTTTACCTCTTCCTTTCATTTAACGGCCAATGCCAGTATTGGATCAGTCAGTACTTGGGCAGTGTGAGCCTGGAATGGATTAAGAGAATGGGAATGGATTAATGGAAAAATAATTATTAGACATAAGTTGAAGATATACACAATTAAGGCAGCTTCTGAAGACTCGACTCAGTGGTTTTGACGGATGGATGCGATCTGTTTCTTTCCAAAACTTGATTTCCCCTTTTACCCACAGAGTGGTGAGAGTATCATGGTGGAAGTAGCTGCTGGTCCTTCAGATTCATCTACCCATGAGAAGGTGAGACGATCGAGGAAGGTATATACAGAAATAAAAAAACAACCCGTTTATTCTTCAAGACCTAGCCATAGGCTGGCCGCATCTGCCATCTGAAAAAACAAAAAAGGATCTGGTCATCTGCTAAAAACGTCAGATGATGTCATGTCTTTAATGAATTAGTTTGAGTTTCTTGGACAGTTCTCTTCATCTTGAAAACGAAATCCGTTGAATACAAAAACACGTGGAAAAGGGGGCTGATACGTTTTGCAGAAGAAAAAAAGCATCTTACCCTTGTGTCCCGGTAGTTCTCCTGCATTGCATTAGAACAGCTGTTGTAGTTAAATGCAACTTCATGCGATTTTAAGGTCATCTCAAGTCTCTGCCCAGTCTTGTAAAACTGTTTTTTTTGGCTGCAGTTAGACAAGTTTAAAAAAACCCAACACTGCACCTGATGATTGACAGTACCTAATGAATCGTCACCAAGATGGAGCACAAGAGAGCAACACAGTCACACAAGGCAGACAATCATAGGACACACCCTACAGTAGGTGCCCGATACTCCCACAAGCAGCTATGACAGAGCTGGAAGATGTCTTTACCTAGAAGCCAACTTGATAATGTTACATACATTTCATTTAAACAGTTTTATTTTTTAAAAGAAATAACATTCTTTTTTACAAATTACATTCCAGACATTTTACGAGCCATGACCCGAATATAAATATACGTCGATTTATGAACGTAATTCATTTCATGAAAACTGTTGCAAGGCGAAAATGAGTAAATAAAGAATTAACTCTCATAAGATGATATGTGTATCCATCCAGTTGGTTCTCGAATTCCAAAAAACTCTCACAGTTTTCAGATGTTTCTTTTGTGTAGTACAAATGCAGGACAATGACAGCAGTATTACTCTTTATGTTAGTTGCTCACCATTAAAGTCTAGTTAAACTAACAGACCTATTTCCATATGTTAAATTATGTTGATGCTGTAAAGTAGTTATGGTGCTTGGCAAACAAAACCCAGTAGGCTATAGATATAACCTTTTTTTAAAATAAAACCTTCATTATTAATCTCACAATTAAAATTCAATAAATACAAGTAAAACTAAATTAAAGAGTGTATAGCGTTCTTTAGTCCAACACTACATACTGCAGTATATTCCTCCACCTACAATAGGATGAAATTGTGACATTAATTGTGCATGTTGTAGCAAAAACATGTTCATATTTCAAAAGACGTGTACAATAGAAATTTGCCCATTTGGCTGTTGCAAAATGTGTAATACGAGTGGAGAGGACGATGTCGGAGCTTGGGAACTGTGCCGTGTTTGGAAGTGCCTGCAGCAGGATGCTCAACAGGGAAGGAATTTTGCTTGTTGTAGACGAGATAGGTTTGAGGGTAACAATTTGCACGCTCCGTTGTAGCGAAAATTCAGAAATCTGTGGATAAATCAGGGGTTGCCTGTACTTAAGCTCATGCCTACCTTGTACACATGCTGTGCACGATTTTTCATATTGCAGTGCAAATGTTATGAACTTGGATTGTCCTCCTAGTGGTGATACTGGTGCTCTCCTAAGACCCAAAGCACTCCTGGTGCGACGTGTGTCACAATACCTGGTTCTTATTGTCCTGTGCCACGTTGCTCCACAGCTGCCTATGGTTCTGAAGGTTCCTCGGCTGAACTCCTCGCCCCTGGCTCTTTGTGACCGTCCTTTCTCCCTCTTGGGGTTCGGGGACATCCTGGTGCCCGGTAAGATCAAGACCAAG